TATATATATATAAATGCAGATTTCCCAAAGAAAAAAAAAATTAAAAAAAATTTTTTTTTTAAATATTCATAAACCTAAAAAAATTTAAAATTTAAAAAAAAATTGGAGCAAAAAATAAAATTCGGAAAAAATATCTCGTCATCAGCTCACACGATTACAGCTGAAAAAAATAGTGCTTTCCAATATTGTATAATATAGTCAAAGCAAAACATTAGGAATACAATAGCGTGCTTTGCTTTGTCAATTTTATCACAACTTTTCACTCTTTTAGACGCGATAGTTCACCTTTTCTGTAGATGTAGTAGTACTTTATTTACGTCTCACTAGAACTGCACAATTTCGATCAGTTATGGTCTGGGTTTATTTATTTATTTTTTGAATAACTGTTGCGCGTTTCCTTCTGATTAGGAGTTCAAGTACTTTATTTAAGTCTCACAAGAGCTTCACAATAGGCAACCAGCCATTGACTGGGAAACATTCCTGAAACATGTCATCACAATTTTGATCCTCTGCAGAAGGGATAGCCCGACGACCTGCGCGCAAAATTCAGCACTTTACTATATAACAGTTTAATGAGGACCGATTCAGCTCACCCTCGGTTTCTTGTCAGGCTGATCAAAGTGGTCACTCAACAGCTCACTGACCGTAGTCAGTGACTGTTGACTTCGGTGATTTACTTGGAACCGTTACATACGATCAGCTCACAGTGGGACTTTCTGTAGTTATTCTTATAGTCTTTCTGTTGTTAGTTTATAAGCTTTTATAACATGCATACTTAGATTAAGAATCTGCAGAACTTCTGAACTCAAAATGATTACTTTCTGCTGATAATTTCTATGCAGTTGAAGTTGATTCCTTTTTTTTTATTCTTTTCAGGGCTTTAGAACAAATGCGCTATAAACTGGAATTTATTTTAATATCTTTTGCTATCCAAGTTGTTGAGGGTACTGGTATTGCAGTTTTAGTTGTATCGACATTCATAATTCTCTTTTCAGAAGAAACGCGGAAAGCTAATTATAACTCAGTAAGTTAATTTCTGTATATTAGTACCATCCTTTAAATTGTAATTTCTTTCACCATCTCCTTTAAATTATTCTTTGCATTTTTATTTTAATTACATGTTACAAGATTTTTAAAATTACTATAATGTTTAGAGTGAATTTTTCTGTTTCATACCTATTTTTTAATTATGTCAAAGATAAAAGAAGCAAATATCAAACACTATATAAGGTGTTTTGTAATGATCACGCTTAATATATATATTTTTGAAATCTTTGTCTAAAATGTAGTGGAAAAATTATGGACTTTAGGGGTCTCAAAATAACATGTAAGCAAAGAAAAACATAAAAGCTTTTGAATTCTGACGAATCATTACTGAGGTATATAATTATAATCATCTAAATTTCTTTAATTGAAGAAAGGAACAAGAAGGGAATGAAAGGGGATAATAGTTTCCTAGATTCATCAGACAATCAAACCTTTTACACCTCGCCTTTTTCATTATGGATTTGATAGATTTTTTTTTGTTTTTTCCTTGCATAAATATCTTACCTACGAAATTATATTACATGTGACTCCTTATGCATGTAATTTTTTCTACATCATTTCTGATAAGGACTCAAAAAATATATTAAAAAAACTTTTAAATATGGAACATCCTACAACTAAGCTTATTTTTGTGTATTCAAGCAGACCAAAAGAGTTATTAATTTTAAATTAATCTAAAATATCTATAAAGAGAGTCATATTTATGAAATAGAAAGTTTCTACATGAAATAAATGTATTGTTGGATTCTCAGAAATGCGATTACTCAAACAAAAAATATCTATAGTTATGTACTTACAATGAAATAAAGACATCTCAGTATCTCTTTTAGAATGATCTTTGAAAATTTTTGTAAGACTTTAGGGTTCCACACGTTAAGTGTTTTCAACTGCTATCGAAACAAAGAATTTTGCTTAACGCTGATCTGTAAAAAGTATCTACAAAGAACAATAATTCTAAGAGAGAAGCTGTTGATTTTTTCTCGAAATTTATATTCGAGACTTTCTGTTTAAGAATAAAATTTTTCTTTGAATTTTTTTTTTAATGAAAGCAAAAGTTCCACTCAAACAAAGGAACAAAGGGGCAATTTTTAGCTTGAGATTGCAATCTTACTATTATTAAAAAAATTGATAAATTTTGAAAATATATATGTTTTAGAGAATAGCAGGAGAATTTAATATTAGCGATTAATGTAAATATTTTACCCAAGTAGAAGAATATGGTTTGAAAAGTATAAAATAATCTGTCACTGAACAGAATTGACTTAAAGTAGTTTAAAATAAATAAGAAGAAAATTTAATCAACGAATTCTTCAAAAGCAAATAAATTTTTAAACAATTTAATCTTTTTTTAGTGAACATTTAAGTAACTAAATTAAATGTACTTTATGTTTAATACAGGTATGGGTCATGGCTTTTACAGTTCTTGGAATATCTGTTGGACCAATATGTGGAGAAGTTGTACATAAAGTAAAATTCTATTTTCAATATACGATTTAATTTTCTCTCCCTCTCATGTCGTATACACTGTTAGAATTTTCATTCTAAATTTACTGTAAAATAAACGGCAACAGTCTGTCCATCCAATTAGCTAAGTTTTCGGTAAAGTATATATTGACATTTACGGTTGGAAACCGCTTACAGCTAGTATGGTTAAAAAAAAAATCATGATTTTAAAACTATACGGTTTTTTAACCATTTAATGGTTTCAAACCCTGAGCTATCCAAGCATGGTCACAAACCCTTAATAAACAAATTCAACTGGACATTAGAGCTAGGTTATGGTTAAGTTGTGTTTTTTCAAATGAACCGTGGAATGTGGTTTAATTAGTTTGTTTGTTTTACCTATTGTAAGAGATTTGCAATAGGCTTTTTTGTTTAGCAGATTTAGCTGCATTTTGTGCGTGAATGAGAGTATCGTATTTTAATAGTCCAGGATCACAAATTGGGGAGTGCAGGATACTGAAAACTCTTCCTGTGTTGAAGGGAATGGAGGAAATATTGTGGTGTCAATACTGGGACTCAAACCCCTGTAAGAAAATGAGATTGACAGATTAGCCCCCTCGGCTATAACATGTTTCCAGTTGCAAGAAACTAAGTGATTTCATTGGGTGAGCTAAGTTAGAGCGTTAAAAGCAGTTATTAAACGGTTTTCTCATAGTTAATAGTTTCAGTATAATATTTTTGTGGTTATTTGACTTTTTTGTTCGAATATGCTAAAATAACAATTTTATCTGAGCAATTTCTAACAGTGTATCAATCTACACTGGTTATCATAAATTAAGGAAAAATCACAAAAATAGCGATAACTCTTTCAAAAGTAAGCCAAACCGTGCAAAATTTGCATATGTTGTCCACTAAGAGTAGCTGAGTAAAATTGCAATATGCAAATTAGTGGCGCTGCACTCGGCTTACGTCATCTGCCTGGAGCATAAAAGTCCAAGTTTGAGAGAAAGCACACAAATTTTACTGTGATTGCGACATTGAAAATCTGAGATAGCCAATTCGTAATAATGACCTCTAGGCATCATTTGCCTGAAGAACTACGATGGAGAGCCATCGGGAGACTAGAGGCAGGGCAGAGTCAATCAGAAGTGGCCAGATGGCTAAATGTGAGTCCATCTGTGGTTCATAGACTTTGGAGGCAATTTCAAACCACAGATTCGGCATCTAGGAGGTTCAGTCAAGGACGGCCAACTGTTACGACCAGTGCCGATGACCGATATTTGACATTAAGTGCACGCAGGAATAGAACCGCTACTCCGACACATCTTAGATCCTCTCTTGCTGCAGCCACCGGAAGGTTGGTGTCAACGTCAACTGTGCGCAGAAGGCTCCACGAAGGTGGTCTGTATGCGAGACGACCAGCCATTTGCGTGCCGCTCACATCACGCCATAGGAGAGACCGTTTGCAGTGGGCCCGACAACATGTCCACTGGACGTCAGATCAATGGAGGCCTGTTCTCTTTACGGATGAGTCCAGGTTTAGTCTAGAAAGTGACAGTAGACGTTATTTGATATGGAGAGAACCTGGGACCCGTTATCATCCATCAAACATCCGTGAAAGAGATGCATACGGAAGAGGCAGTGTCTGTGTTTGGGGAGGCATATCCTTAGGAGGGCGCACATACCTCCATGTCTTTCCAAGGGGAACCGTGAATGCTCAGGTTTATCGAGACAACATCCTTGATGCTTATGTGCGCCCATATGCCGGGGCAATTGGTGATTGCTTCCTGTTACAGGACGATAATGCAAGACCACACAGAGCTCGCATTGTTGATGATTATCTTCAACAGGAAACAATTACTCGCATGGAGTGGCCAGCTCGATCCCCGGACTTGAATCCTATCGAGCACGTTTGGGATGCTCTAGGGAGGCGTGTATCTGCCATCAATCCGCCCCCTCAGACCCTTGCCACGCTTGCAACTGCTTTACAAGAGCAATGGCTCTCACTTCCTATTGAACTGATAGACCGCATAATTGAAAGCATCACACATCGCTGTTTGTGCTGTATTGCTTCTAGAGGCAATCATATTCCATATTAAAGGTACTTTTTCTATTGCAAACCGATACTTCCAATTTGTTTATTTTATACATGTGCTAATTTCTATACTACTATTAATGTCTGATAATTTCTTTTTATGTTGTTTAATACCTTACTATGTGTTGTATATTGTGGGTAAGTTTCATAAAATTCCATGTGTAATTGAAAGAGTTATCGCGATTTTTGTGAATTTTCCTTAATTTATGATAACCAGTGTATTTACGTAATATCTAATTTCGTTGCTTTAAAATGAATTTCGTTTAGCTGATTAATGTTAATCGTTACAATATTTTCTTGCGCTTTCAAGATGTATTAAAAATAGTAAATTAAGCATGCTTCTTTTCCCAGCTAACTTTATAGTAAAACTAAATACATTTTACATAAATTACGACTAAACATTATTTTTTAAAATATCATAGTAAAACTCCATTTTTATTTTAGTTTAATACATAAAATCATATTTAAAAAAAAAAATTTAAATAGTATTTAAAAGCCTTTTTAGTTCAATCTTTCTATTCAATTATTCTGAAAAACTTAATTAGTTAGAACATGTAAAAACTCGGTATTGGATAACAACTTAAAAACTCTCCGTCAATCTTTTTTATAAAAAAATATCATTGTTACAGCTAGTTTTATTATTTTAAAACTTGATACAGTACATCATAGTTGTCTTAAAGTTCAATAGAAAAATATACCAAATCTAATAAAAAAAATATACTAAATGCTTTAATACCAAATCTAATCAATATCTTAAATATATAAATATTTATTTTGAAAAAATTTAATAAACTGTATCATTTTGTTGCATATTGCGAGCTTTAAATTTCTTCAGTTTTTTTTCTTCCCAATTTCTTTTTCAAGTGCCATTTATAAATCTGAAGTTATGGAAACGTAAGAAATAGTCCAGATTAAGCATAAATTATTAAAAAAAAATTTATATTAATAAATCTATTCAAAAACAGGAATAAACAACATAAGTTTTTGTGATATTTTTGGCATTTTTAAATTAAATTCAGCTTTGTTTCAAACTGCATAAAAATATAAGAATGTTGAATCTTGTCTTGACTTATAAATCTTGAATTATAAATCGTGAATCCTGACTTAGAAATTTTGTATATAATAAATATCCAGATCATATATTATTGAAAAGCTGTTTGATGTTTACAAACATAAGTGAAGGCGTTCATTGCTTGAAACTCATATAACTATATAAACATATATATATTGCAAGGTGATAAAGGTTAATAACAGATAATTTACGGTAATTAAGACTCTTTTAGGTAATTTGAAATTCAAGGATTTATTTTTGAATGCATATTTCTCCATGAATTCTAATTGCATACATATATATGATATTGCAGGCTTTTGGATTTGGCATACCATTTTATGGAATAGGTGTAATCACTGTTTTATCCAGCTTTCTATTACTGGCACTGATAGTGGAACCAGGTAAAATAAACACCATAAAGAATTCAAAATGTTAGCACTGTAGTTTAATTAAAATTCTGTAATTAAAATCAACAATTAATTCAACTATTTAAAATGCACTACATTAATATTAGCCCTTGCAATAAAACTCCCAATTCATTTAATAAAATTTGTTCCTTTGCTCCCCGATGTATTTTCGAATTCATAAATCTTTTGGTTGAAGATTTTCTATTTTCTCTTAGGAAAAATATATAATAATGCCAAGTATTTATTTTTATTATAAATACACAATAATCAGTAGTTAAAATACACAAAATAATCACTAATATTTAAATATTTGTTATATTTCCATCAAAGTATTGTAACTTTAAATCTAAAAATATAATTATAAACTTACAATTTTTGTAAAAATTAAAACAATAAACAATAATATTCCGATAATAAATTAAATAAGTTTTTTATAATGGAAAAATGTATATCTGTGGTTCTCTAGCAACATATTTCATTCAAATATTGCAAAATAAAATTTTTGTTGCTTTTTTGAAATTCTATACACTAAAAAACGAAAATAATGTACCAAATTTAATCTAAAAAATGATTATTTCATTCGAGAGAATTATTACTAGATGGTCTTAATTAATTTTAGTAACTTTAAGAATCATTAATAAATAATAAAATAAAGTTAAATAATAAAGTAAAGTTAAATAATAAAATAAAGTTAAATAATAAAATAAAGTTAAATAATAAAATAAAGTTAATTGATAAAATTATTACTGAAGTTTACAAACAAGTGTGAATTCATTCGAAGTTACTATACGGCATTGTAAGCTCAATTATTTATTAAATTATTTATAAATCAGATTATATGCAAATTTAAAAAGATTAAATATACGAAAAGTAATATATATATATATTGAAAAAAAACTTAGGAATGAAGAAATATCATTAGTGTCCCCCTTTCATATCTAAGTCAAAATGTAAATACCTCTATTCAATTTTATGTATTTTTATTATTAGGCCAGAAAATATCTCATAAAGACATCCCTGTTATATCATGGATGAAAGAAACCAAGATGTTGCCTTACTTTATAATAATTTTTGTTACTTTTAACTTCACTGGAGTCCTTGCTGTTGTATTAGAGCTATATTTGCAACAGGTATAATGCTTCAATCTTATTATTTTGGATTTTGATTAAATTTTTCGATATTTAAAACTTCAGATCTTTTATTTTATTTCATGACCGTCTTCATCAGCGGACCCAATTTTCAGTTTACAATGTTCAACTCCGTAGCTTTGTAATTTTGAACCCAATTCAAAAGACAAAGGAAGTCCTGGATTAAGTATAGAGAGAAATTTGCCTTCGTGGAGGACATTTTTGATAGAACTGTACCCCATTTGCTTTACATGGAGAAGAAAACCTCGAAAATATTCCACAGTTAGCTTCACGGCAAGGAGACTCTAACCCATGATCCGTCTACCACAGTATTTTACGTCAGCACTGTGGTTGGACTTTACTATAATGCAAAAGTTATTCATTATTTAATAAAGTTAATTCATTATTTTATAAAGTTTTTTCGAAATAAAGTTAAGGATATTCATTACGTAACACTCTTTACATAAAGGAAGTGCATTTTTTAAAGAGTTGGAGAAGCTTATCACTTTTATTTCATAAGTCTACTGTTTCTTGTTAAAAACTGTTTACTGCTTCTTGTTAATTATTTGATATTAGTGAGACAACTTACCCAAAAAACTGGTTCAATTTAGTAACACATTATGTTTTTCAATTTCCGTGCATTCACCTGATTAAAATGCAAGCTGATAGTAAAAATGTAAGCTATTCATAATATTTCATTAAAATTTAGAACAATGAAACTAATCATTGTAATCAATACTCATTGTTACAAAAGCAGAAGTTGTTAGAAAAAAATTTGCTGTTGGCCTATGAAAATGTTATTGAAGTCACACAATAAAAAAATTTATACATAGTCATTACCATTTTTAGTGTTAAAATTAACTAAATACATTTTTAAGTACAGAACAATAGCTATTAAGCAAAAATTATGTAAAATTGACAAAATAACAATTAATCCAAATGCACATGGAAATATGTGTTGTCAGTAAACAAAAAAGCAAGAAATGAAAAAATAAAGAAAAAAAATAAAACAGTTGAAAAATAAATAAAAAAATGTAATTGCCTACTTTGTAAAAAAATTTAGTTTACCTTAGTGCCAAAAACGGTTGCTGCTAAACACCGATATTTTTTACAGCACAGAGATAAAACTAAACAAGTAATTAAAACACAACTAATATTCATTCAGTTAAATAACTTATGTGTAAGTACAGTAAAATAAATACTGTGACATCGCTTATGTAAGATCAGGAATGGAGAGACAACTAAGCCCTGTGAGTGACACAATTGACCTCTATTTTCTCTACTTGACTAACAGCGGCCACAGCTTCCAATTAAAAAGAAGTTGTATAAGAATTAAGATATTTTTCATTAATATTTGTAATTTTACTCTCAAGATACGTTAATTATTAAAGTGATTATGCTTAATACTAAATTTAACTATTGTAATGTTTTTAAAACAAAGTGAAAGCTAAAACTTAATTGCTTATTTTTTAAACACAAAACGAGTACCACTCTTTAATATTTAATAGGACGCTGTGGTCACTGTACTTATCAGTAAAACAGTGCAAATTGAAACATTTATTTATATTATTTAGTTTCATTTAGATAAAGTGTACCTTGGACTACTCTTTGGTATACCATCTTTGGCTTGCGGACTTTCAGCTCCAGGTTGGTGGTGGATGACAAAAAAAGGAGTAAGCTTTGATTTTCTATCGACATTTCTAAATCGACATTATCAAGCAGAATCAAAATTGTTTCTGCCCATCCGCCGTTTGTAAATAAATTCAAGGATAAATCGCATGTGATATCATTTTCATCTAAAAAACAATTTTTGTTTTCACAATATCTACTTCTCCTGCTATACTGTCATTAACATTTATGGAAGAAAAGTTTTTTTATTTTGGCGTACATAGATTAATATACTAAAAACCGACGTACTCTGTTGTTTATTAATGTTTATTCTAATGTATTTTTATTGTAATTTATTTTTAAATAAAGTGGCTACTACGGAAGGCTTGATTCATCACACCAAATTTAGAAAGTGATCGGTAGTTCCATCTTTAGCCTACTGATACGGGGTCTGGGGGTTGGATGTATTACAGATGTAACTTTTCAGTTCGTATTCAGAACACGAAACGTAAAAATGGTTCTTAAAAAATATAAATTCGAACAACGTCAATTAAATACCGCTATTATAAATTTTTAGCACCTGTTACAATTTTGTAAAAAGAACTGTTAACTTTAAATATCATTTCAAAAAAGAATATTTTTTTTAAAAAAAATGTATTGAGTGATTTAGGCAAAGAACGACATCACATTGCAAATTTATTTAGATAAAATTGTTTATTTTTTTTAAAAAAATAGAATAATTTTCCTAAAAGAAGTCTGAAAAACGGAATCAAATGCTATGTCCATTTTCTTAAACACGCATTTCGAGTTGCGTCTATATTCTTAAACACGCATTTCAATCTGTGTCCATTTTCTTAAACACGCTTTCTAGCGGTGTCCATTTTGAGCTGTGTCCAATTTCTTAAACAAGTATTTTCAGCTATGTAGAAACTAAAAAGCTCATCGATGATATTATCAAGAAATAAACATTGTTTAATTAATAATTAGTGTTATAAAATTAGCTTATTAAAAAAAAGGAGTGTCACGAATTTTTAAAAAACACAAGTTTTTGTCGATAGATAGATATAATAAACGGATAAAAAAATTTAACTTCAAAAAATGAATAAATAAATGAAAAAGAGAGAGAAAAGTAAAATATCATCTGATTTTTACCTGTGGCTGGAGGAAAAAAAGGACACGTAGTCGGCAGGATTCGAACCTGCGCGGGAAGATCCCAATGGATTTCTAGTCCATCGCCTTAACCACTCGGCCACGACTACCCGCTCAAAAGAGCCTTTGCAATTAACAGCACTGCTCATATTTGTGTTTTTTTAAAACCAGAAATTATGATTAATTACTAAAACCATTTACATAGCATCAGCTATTAAAATCATTTTTTAGGGTCTTCTGTATGTTTTTTAGAATTTTATGTTGGTTATTATATATACTTGATACGGCTCGGAATTTGTTTTTTGCTAGAACGGATGGCAGCATAAAAGCTAGTCATCTTTTCAGCCATCTTGTTTATTTTCGAAATATTCCTTTATCATATTTTTATTCATTATATTTTTTTATATTAGGTATTATTTTTATGTTGTTTTGCATTACAATTCTAACACGACAATGTTAATATATTTAATAAAGTTGAACTACAGGTATTAGAACATGCTTACAAATTAATCAGTGCTATTAGCAGAGCCTTGTCATTATAATGTGGTGCAGATTCACTAAGTGTCGAATAATTTAAATCATTATTAAAATCATACGAAACTATGCATGAATGTTACAAAATAATTTAAAAATAAACGCCGTAGGCGCAAAGAACGTAAAGAATTTGTTCCTCCTAATAAATATAAATCTTAAAAAAAAAATTAAAAAAAAAAAAAAAGAGAGAACAATTTTCCTCTGAAATATTTCTGATAAATTTTAAAAAAAATCATCATCGATTTAAATTTAGTTAAGTTAAAAACAAGCTAAGAAATAAAAAACAAAAGAAAGAACAGTTTTGAAAATATTTAGCGAAATGAAGAAAATTTGAATATTTTTTGTTAAAATGTGGAATTTTAAAAACAATTGTAACTAGTAACTGTGTATTTTAATTCCGTTCCTCTCAGAAATAGGATGTCAGAGTCAGACACAAATTTAAAATTTACTAAAGCGAGTTCCCTTAAAATGATGTTTAAATTTATAAATATATGAAGCTCTAAATTGCAAATTCGCCCAAAAAAGTTAAAATTGTATGTATTCTATATTCAGAGACGTAAACAGAAATGTTGAGCTGAAAAAGAAAAAAATCGATCCATATTTAAATATGACAAGTAAGAAGTAAAAATTTTCCAGCTTGCGAATTTGGCCATAAAAGTATCAAAAAATGATGTTCCGTAAAAGACGAGTTGATATTCTCCAACTTTCGTTTTTTTCGTTAAAAAAATTATTAAATTGCGTAGAATTATTTTTACACTGGTTCAATTAAAACAGGAATAAGTTCCATGCTTTTCACTGAAGTCATATGATTAATTAACAAAAACTCTTTTTTTAATTTCTTCTATACGTAAGTTATAGTTTTACTTAACGAATTTAATACATTGTAAAAATTTATATTTAAATAAAGTCAATTAGGTTTTTTTTTCAAAAATAGCAGTGGAATATCAAACAATTTAGAAAGGGAAATATGGCCAAATTTTAACATTACAAGGGACATTATAAAAATTTATTTCGCAAATTTGCACCGCGAAGCCCTCAGATTCTAAATATTTTGATGAGTGTTAATTTTTATCTTGATGTTAATTTTGTGTGTGTATTTGTATTTTTACGACATATGTTAATTTTTATCACTTTACATTTGAGCTGTAACGTTTTATAAATATGCCAGTAGAATGTTTTAGGAATCTTATAAGGTAGGCTGAGTTTTTAACATTCAGCCATATATATCTTATAATACCAAAAATTCTGGCTATACAGCTTTATAGAGGGAATTGTGGGTAAATTTTTAACGTTACGAGGAGCATTTTGAAGATAGAATTCAAGCATTTGTACCGCAAAGCCGTTGTTTTAGTGCCTTAAAAAGCTTTGAACAGTATGAGTGCATTTTGAAAAAGAAATTTTATCGAATTAAACTACCCCATTTATATCCATTCTGATCTGACCTTTATCATTACTAAGGGGTATGACGTACAGTTTTGTAACTCCAAAAGATTAAAAACAAAAATTGAATCACTTACTTTTGAAATTAAAGCAATTATTCCTAAATTAAATGTTTGTTGAACATCAGGCATCAATTGATGTAAGCTTGAAATAAAAAACTGTTTAAAAACTTTCTGATGAGAGTACTTTTGAAGATTATTGTCTAAAAGTTCTAGACTAAATGACACCCTAACTTTTTAAAGTATTATGGAATATTATAGATGTTGCTACTTTCGAGTAGAACAACTAATTAACAATTTCAGCCAAACTAAGAAACTTTAAAAAAATTTCGTGTAAAAAGTGGCAGTAACATTTTTGTTTAGAATAAATAACTTTCAGATACCAACCACTTAAGATTTAAAAAGCACAGTGCTTTGACTTAACCAAACATAAATATTTATATTACTATCTAACTATGGTTGACAAAACTATATTATTTCTGCAGAATAATTCCAATTACTCAAACGCTTATGCTACCATTTTTTTAGTTTTTGAAAAAAAAGCTACCGTCCGTTTAAAAGGAAGCTTGCACAAATGGGTTAAACTCGATAATAAATTTTGAAAAACAAATAATGCCCTGACCAAATCGAGCTACATCTATCACCACGATCACTCTGTAGTATTTTTTGTGTATCAATGATAAATAATACAAAAATAATATGTATTTTTATTTTTTAGTGCAATAGCTTATTGCTTACTTGTATAGCAAGTATCTTGATTATTGCTGCTTTGATTTTAATAGTGCCAGCATCATTTACAGCTTTAGATGTGTAAGTAAAATGTACGATTAGTTACCCTAGTTCAGGGGTGACGAACCTTTATACACCAACGTGCCATTTTTTTCTAAAAAATTGTTTAATGATGTCATACACGTGCCGTCAAATAATTTTGACTTCGGGATTATTGGGAAAATAATAATACTAAATACTATCAACTCAAAACTCTTTATTTACATCGAAAAAAAAAAAAAAAAAACATTTTGCAATGTCTCAGTTATGCGCGTTATTCAACTTCTGTTGTTGCAGATTCGATGACAAATAACTTAGATTAGGTTGCAAGTTGTTAGTTTAAGCAGGACAGTTAATTTTTTTTTTGCTAGTTATTTATTGTTAGCTTGTTTTTTATGGTTATTAATTGTTTTTTTAGCATTAATTATTAATTTTTTTATTAATAATTGTTTATTATTTTGTGTATTTTTGTGAATTTTAATTTAATTGTTACATATGCTTTATAGCGTAATAACATTTGTGTAATAAAAATTCATAGTGTAATAACAAATGTGATCGGTGGCGTGCCCAAAATATTGTGTCAGGTGCCATAAATGGCACGCGTGCCATTGGTTCGCCATCCCTGCCCTAGTTATTGTATTATTTAGCAACTATTATCAACAATTCTACAGAACTCTCGCTGCATTCCGTTTATAAAGTTTTTTTTCGTTTTTTTTTTTTTAAATACATTTACTACTTGATACTTCGTATTTTATGTAAGAAATAAACGCTTTAAACTTTGCCTACTTGTGTTAAACTTGGCAAACTGGTGCTTTCAGTTTTATTACTAGCATTTTTGAATGGGTATGAAAGACCATCAATATCATCGATAATCGTGTTCCAAATCGTTTTCAGTCATAAATGCATTGTTATGTTTGAAAGTGGAATAATCACATTTGGACTGCGGCTTTTAAGTCCGTGGCCTTTAAGGGTTAGTATTTGTATGACTTTCAAAATATATATGGTGCATGTTAATCAATTTGGATGATGTTATTAACACTATAATGTGGTGAAATATAAGAATTCAACAATGAATATTAAAATCGAAAAAATACAAAATGACTATATTATATACAAATGACTTATCCCCCTTTCAAAAATAATAACCCAAATATGAAAAATTAACTAAATCACGACTTTCTAAATTTTTCTAGATCCTTAGTGAATGTGTCTGTTGCTCTTCTCCTTCAAGGTCTTGGTAGTGGCGGGAAACTAGCCTGTTCTGTATATGCTGCCAATAGAGAGCTCAAGTAATTAAAATTTGCATTTGATATTTTCAATAACTGAAGAGTTTAGAAGCAATATATTAATAAGCCACATTTTATTACTAATGAGATATTTTTACATTAAACTGAATCTTGGAATTATTTCCAGTTAGGTACTTTGCAAGTTTATATAGCATTTGCTACCTTACATCGTGATAAGCTTACCCGACAAAAATAGATCCCCCTCTGGATAAATCATGAAAAGTATAATTTAATATGGTGTAACTCCATTCTAAGTACTTCGCATCCAGTTAATGCCATTTCTGACAATTAAATCAAGCAAATGGGGGTGCTGGTTTCAGTATTTTATCTGTATGTTCCATAATTTTTTTTATAGAATTCAAGTGTGGTGCTTTTGCAGGCCACTCGAAATAAAATAGTTTGTGGCTTCCATACTCTTTATTTCATACATAAGTCACATATTTATTCACTCTGACTGTGGCGACCGTTAATTTTGCCCTATTACAGACCCCACTTCAGGCTTGAACTTAACACACAATAAAAAAGGAAATATTTTACCTAGAATGGTGACTAGTTTTTTATTGTGAGCCTACTCAGAAGACTATTTATATTGCTTACATAAAAATCTTTTTTTATTTGTTTATTTTCCCAACCACTTTTTGAAAATACGTTCTCCCAAGGAATTTGAAGCAGTGCTTTATTGATATGTTACCCATGTCATTATTCTACTGCTGGAAATGACGTTTTCGTTTCCTTATAACAAAAAAATTCAGTTAATGAGTACAAAAATAAATAAATATAATCTAATCATCACATATTTTTCTTTAAAAAATGCACTTTGACTTTTTTAATGATAACTTTAACAGAAACAAACCGAAAATTTTTGATGAACACTAAATTGGAAGTCAACTGAAAAAGAAAATTTATCAAATATCGTCAAGTAGTAATTCCATACTTAAATAAATAAATTAATAAATAAAAATGCGGGTGTACATTGTTAGCGGATAGTTTCACATATTTGTTATATTTATTTCACTGATTACTTTGGAATATTTGTAATAGAAAAAAGTGTCAGAAAATTGAAATACTCGAGTTTCTTAGTAACGTTGTTTGATTGATATCTTGACAACATAAATATTTTCTTCTTTCCTTGTGGCTTACCGAGTATGTTCTATCAGGGCTAAAGAGAATAGAAGGGCTAGTTCACTCCGCTCTTAGAGCTGAAGCTACGATTTCCCTCCTCATGACGTCACTGTGTCCACAGATCTCGGAGATCGCAAGCAAAGATATTATGATAACTTTGCATCTTTCTCTTTGTAAAAATAAGTTAGACTTTTTCTGGTTATTAGCTTTCAAACTTTACGTTTTTAACACATTATTTCCGTTCATAAACATAGTTCAAAAAAACTTTTTTGGCCATTATATTAAAAAAAAAAAAAATACCATTTTAAACTTATAAAAATGTTTTACTAGATGGCGAAAATGACACTATAAATACTTTATTTTAAAAAGTTCAGTTTTAACTTTAATTATTAAGAAAAATGAAAGCATATATCGACACTTTTTTTATCTACATATTCTTTTATAACAATAAGTTAAATTAAATTTAGAATCCCTGATTTTAAATTATGTCGTTAATAGCAATTTGTTCATACTTAATCATTAGGAAACATCAACCTCAAACGCTAATTACTGAAACAAAATAATAATTTAGGTTCATAATGACATTAGAAATTTTACAATTGTTTATAGATATTTAAATTTAAGATGATATAATTTATAGATATTTAAATTTAAGAGAATATAATTTTTAAAAAAAAAATCATAAATATTTGAATAACTATTAAAAAATATGTTATGAAATTAGGAGAATTCCAACTATATACTACATATTTTATTTATACTTTCTATTTACATTTTAATTTTCTTTGACTTTATCCATTTTTTTAATTTTTTTCACCTGCCTTTCTTTTTGAAGTAACGAGGCGTTTTCTACTTAGATAATGAACTTTTATTAAAGTTTTTAACGACAGAATAAACGTATTGCTGTTTTATATTAACTGTGTCATTTCGGAATCCATTCTTTACATAGTTGTTCATTTACTTTAGGGAACAAGTGGAAAATTATATTTTTTCCTTTTGTTTTTCTATCAAAATTTTTTCAAGTTGCAATCGCGCAAACTGGCATTTCGATTATAGTTTTAAATTCTTGTAAATTCACTGCAAAAGCTGAGGAAAGTCATTATAGAAAATAACAAATGTCTTAGAATATCTCGCAAAAAGAAATGCTCCAATATTAGTTAGAGCTAGCAAGGCCGAACGCTCCGTTCTTGAAGTAAAAGTGCGAGCTTTGCGCCAAAGTGACGTCACTAGAGAAAATCAAAGGATTGGCGTGGCGAGAGCTACTTCAAAGGAGTGAACCAGCCCTTCTATTCTCTTTAGCCCTGATGTTCTATAGCAGCGTTTCCCAATTTTTTTCAGCTATGAAACTCGAGCGAATGATCGAGCTTCCTTTGGCGGAACCCGACATTGTGAAAAAAGATTCATTAGCAGCTGCGATTATACTAACTAAAAAAAGAAATAGACTACTACTAATTGTTTTGTTGCTATTATGCCACTTTTTTTATAACCGTTGTTGAAGAGCAGACTCAATTTTGAGTTTGCGACTACCAATTTTCAACTTCGTAGCCTTGTAGTTTTGAAACTAATCTAGAAGACAAGGGAATTCCTAAAGATCAAGTATTGGGATAAATTTTGCCGTCGTGGAGGACTATTTGATGGAACTAACCACCTTTGAGTTACACGCTGAGAAGAACCGCGAAAACCACCCATGATTATCCTGACGGTAAGGTAAGTCTAACCCAAGATCCGTCTACCACTGAGGATATTTAACGCCAGCACTGTGGTCGGTGCGAGCCGGGAGCGGAATTCTTATTGACCAGCCACTGTTGGGATTCGAACCCGGTTCACCAAACTGCCAGCAAGCCTGCTTGAAATCAAGCGAATTTTTAACGCAGAGGCTGCGTTTCTTATTTTCCAAGAATAAACTTCAGCCACACTCACATCATAGCCCGTTTTACAAAAGAACGATTAATCTCTACTTCAGTACCCCCAGAGGTGCTGATTTGTTATAGGAACCTGGAAGACTTTTTAACCATGAAAGATTTGAAGTGCACCAGTTACCATTCAATAAACGGGGATTCACAAATTGTTTTAAAAATATTTAATGTGAATAATTAAATATTTAATATTCTAAAATTGTTAGAGGTGCATGCATATGCTGATAATCAATAAAATAAGCTGAATTATGGTTTTTGAAAGAAGAAAAAAAAGAAAAAAGCTTTTATTAAAACTTTTAAAATAGTTATCAGAGAAATATAATTCTTTATACGGATTTTTTTAATTTTGAATTGAAAAGCTCGATGAGAAATATTTAATGAGTTTTTTAAAAATGCATATCTTTCTCATAATTTATTCAATATACTGTAATTGAAAGAAAGAAAATATTTTTCGATATTTTGCTACTTTTTTCATTGGCATTTCATATAATTAAGTTCATATAAACAACCAATATATTAAACCTAATTATGAATTATTGATTAGATACAAATATTATTAGTTGTTAAAAATTCCTAACCTTCGGAACCTCAGTAATCTTTCCACGGAACCCTATGGTTCCACGGAACAACTCTTAAGAACTGCTGCTGCATAGAAATTTTAGTCTAAATTATTTTTAATAAAACTAAAAAGAGCTTCCAAAAAGAAAAACAACACCCTGTTTAACTTATAAGTTTAGATCTAAAGAATTAGAAAAGGCAATAACATGTCGGTCTTTTGAATAAGTCAGGCTGTTGATCCTCAATAATAGCCGCGACATAAATAGCTTAATATTTTTTCTTCACTTTTTTCATATTTTTTGGAATTAATTGCGTGAATAAAAAATATCTTTGTACGAATTAAAAAACTGGTTTGTCCAAATATATTGTCACACAAAAAATATGAGTTATTTTTAATGGATTAGTATATTTAGATAAAAAATATTGAAAAAATCATATTTTGTTAAACTGCATAATTTTAAATGATAAAAACCAAAATTCGAAATAAATCAGATGAATGGTTTTTTTTAAATAAATATTGATCATACACCTCAAATTCGCTTTGATTTCTAAAAACATGTTAAATATCCTATCCCTTAAGAATTTCTCTGTTAATTTCATTGTTATTAAAAAATTAGAGCATAAAAGGATATTTTTTATTCGTTTTAGAACAAGGAGAACTATTAATGGAACACCCGAGCCACAACCGTTACTTATACCCACAATATTTACTTTCGGAGCTTTTTCAGGGTAAAGGCAAACTTTTTTCTTCATATTCTTTATTAAAATATTTACTTTAACAAATATTACTTTATTATTAAACATTAAAATTTATTATTAAACATTTTATTATTAAACATTAGGAGAACCTAAAATTTTCTTTTTCTTTCAAAGATTTTTCACAGGATGCTTTGTATCAGGATTTACATTCTATTATAGTGGTATTAAGAACACATCATACTTTTTGTACTCTTTAGAAGCTATTTCAGTAAGTTTCATCTTCATTTATCTAATTTCTTTCAAGAAATTTAATAAATTGCATAAATTTTTAATTTTTTTAATAACATAAACAAATTAAATATATTTCTTATCAAATACTTTATAAGTAGTTATACTTTTAAGGTTATGTTTCAAATATTATAAAACAAAAAGTCAGCAATAAAATGTTTTTCATTTTAATTTTAAAAATTCGTTTTTCATTGTTAAAAATAACAAAAATTCATAAAGAAGTCATTAGCAAAGCAGATACCAAGTGTTCTGAAAAATGTCTGTTGATTTGAAAAAGCATTTAAACGAAAATGGAAGGTTTTAGGAATGTACGGTTTGGTTCGATCTGCTAAACAGAAACTTCTTAAAACGTTTCAAATTAAGTTATAAATTTCGTCAATAGACGGTGCTGCTGACTGGAAAAATTATAAAACAAGCTTTTTTGCTGCATGCCAGACCATTCTAATTAAAATATTTGTAACGGTGGTTATAAGTTCTATCACGTCGCTGCCTTAAATGGGTGTTATTTTAAAAACATTGCTTTATAGTTTTTCCTATTTATCAGCACCATCTGTTGATTAAAAAAAAAACTAATTTTGATACTTTGTGAGATTAATAACTTGCTTTCTAAGCAGAACGTGGCGAATAACACATGTCTACTCCTAATTTTTCATGAATTGATTATTCAAATCATCAAGAATTTTTGGGACACATGGTATTTTAGTCACAATGATTTTAGTTAAAGCTAATGATTATTATCGCATTTTTATCTTCTGTGCTATTTTTCTAGCATTTAATTTTTAGAAATATTTTTTGATGTCAAAATAAATGTGCCAGAATACATTGAGCTGCAGACTTTTATTAACTCTTAATTTACTAAGTTATTAAGAAAATATCAAAAAATGCGTAAAAATTTTTTCTTCCATTAAGTATTTTACAATTTGACAAATATTTTTGTTAATATTCAGTATGTTTTTCTAATTTTTTATTGAGTTTTTAACTTAACACTTTAAGTCCCATTAGGATTTGGTACACAACTGACTTAAAACAAAATTACTTAGAGATTCAAAATTATACTAGAAAAATATAAAGAGTAGTTCAATACTTGCGCATGTATTTTTATTTCTAAATATCAAACAAAAATATTAAAATGTAAACCACATTTATTATGAAATTAATAAAATTGTTTGCAATATTTGTATTTGTGAGTATATATTTCCGTTTTTTTTTCCTCTTTTGTATTCAGATGTATTAGAATATAATGAATTTCAGTCCACACACAATTTTAATTTCTTCGGAGTGAAATAAATGAAATAAATAAATTAATTAATGAGCTTACTTAAAAATGCTACTACAACTCAATAGAGAAAGCAAGTCATGCATAAATATTTCAATAAATGTAACTAAACCATATTAAATAATTCAACACTATTCTCAATACAGTTTATAAAATATTGATTGAATGAATATAAAACCAGTCGGGACATTAAAGTCCCAAGGAAAAATAAACTCAGTAAAAAATTTTAATTGAAGTTAAACAATAATACTTTGCTTTATAATTAGTTGAAAATGTTAAGGAGTCAATAAAAAAATATGAAAAACATACTTCCAAAATTGATCCGGATAGAAAGCTAAGAATAGGACAGCAAACATTGATCATAAAATGGCCACTTAGAACGAAATATCAACAGCTAAATAGTTCCAAAGGCGATCCTTAAGTTCAATTAATCTTGTGCTGCCAATTAGTTATGATAATTGGAAAGTATACTGGAGCAGACAAGTCCGGATGAGATATTTTGTTCCGTCTCAATACCATTTGGAAATATTATTAGTGGGACTTAAAAATTCCTTAGATGAATAAAGGGTTAATAATGTTCATAATACCAATAAATAATACTAATTGCGAATTTTAAAAAAGTTCAATTATTTTACAATTCTGACTCCTCCTATGGGAGAATATGGGAAAAGAAAGAGTAATCGGTTACAGAGACCGATCCGATATGAGCCGATATATATATATATATATATATATATATATATATACATATATATATNTATATATATATATATATGTGGTGCAACAAGTCACTGCAAATCAGAATGTATGATTTATATTGAAAAGAAAACCTAATTATTTCTAGCTAAAAATGATAGGTGTGTGAAAACAAACTCAGAATGTTCCGTCAGCACCACACTTAATATAAATGTTTGTATTTCCCTCCTCACTTGAATATTAATTTGCGGGAACTAATTTGCATACCTTTTACTTTCCTTTTTAGCAAGGATTTCTTAATATATGCATTAAAGGCAGCGATTACGAAACACTTTACATAATTTTCTGCTCATAGGTTAACTTTTCTTTTTCTTTCTAATTTATAGGTGATAACTGCAGTTATCTTTGCATTCAAGAGCAACTATCGAGTTCCTAGACGTCCTGTGACAATTGAAGAGACACAACCAATTCTACAAAGCTGATAGGCAGGATCTGAAAATTGACTTTTTTTAAAAACTTTCTTTTCAATTATGTTTATAAATTATTGCTTGACTGTGAAAACTCGTTCATTAAACTTTATTTATATTTTTAATATGCATATCTATTTTTTTTAAAGTTGTAATTAAATGTATTTTAAAACAAACATCTAATTTCTTTAAATCGGCTACTTTTTCTGTTCTTTTTAAGCAGTATTATTGTCCAGGAAATTTAGTAGAAATAGGTGCTAAAACTTTTAAAACTGTAGTTTATTAAAAAGCCAATTAATAAGGATAAAATTAAATTGAACTCTGCTGGTTTTCCATCCTGAAGTTAACGCTTAAACTTAGTTATAACAAGTGTTAAGCAACCAATCCATATCAGACTTGCACCGTTCAGTACAGTAGCTTTGTAACATTAGCTATTTATCACTAATTATTAGCATAACTTAAGGAAACTTCTGAAATAAAGTTAAGGGACAAACTAGCTCTCGTGGTGAACTTTTTAAATAAAACTAATACGCATTTGCTATAAAAGTCTCCCATGGTTAGCCCAACGGAAAGGAGATTTGTCCAAAAATCATCAACCACTGGATATATATTTTACGTCAAAAATGTGGTCGGTTTGAGCAAGGAACGATATTCGATTCGATAAGCTATCGTTAAGATTCGGACACTGATTCTTTGGAAAGCAATCACTCTATTCCCTGAACTATTTCGGCTCTATGACGTAGTTAATACTACTTAATCTATAAGTAATCATCTACTAAAGGGAAGTGCAAGCTCCCTTTTGTATGCCATCTCTGCTTCAGATGATTACAATGTAATTATATAAACACAATCATGCATTTTGTCATGCATTCTCACATCATGGGTAGAAAATTGAAGAGGAAATAAATAACGAGAGCGAGAAGAACAGAACACCCGATTAACCGGTTGTTAAGATATTGACGTAGCTCTTCAGACTTTAGTTCTGAGATGCATAAAACTAAATGTCATCAGATGATCGTTGCAACAGTCTCTCCCCAGAGAACGGTGTATTTGTGAGGCCGTTGCTAAAGTTATCGGTACAGTTCTGCGTTTTTTATTCACATTTTAGATATGGTTGATTATTGTGCCGCGTGTGAAGGGAGTGAACATAACAGAGGGTTGTATGGAATAGAACTGTGGGACAAGCTAGGGCCCACCAAGGGCTGTAGAGCTATAGAAGGAGAATGTGCCGTGTCAATAAAAACTGTGGCATGTTGTAAAATAAAGTTTAAATCCAGCATGAGAGATAGGGAGTGGACTAGAATTTGCCATTTAGAGCGTCAAATGAATAGGAACAGTGACTTTGTGAACAGGGTATTGCTGTCATGTACGTATAATTCACTGTCACCAAATGAAAATAAAGTGTATAGTGTCACAGATGAGGGAAGAATTACGTTCCTTGAGAAAAACTTTTTAATGTCTTCAGCTGAAGTGGATGTCAAGCGTTCAGAACCTAAGGCATTTAACACATCATTCTAAATCCCTTATACTCATTGTTAACTGAGCAACTTTTGGAGCAAAGTATATTTTACACATAAACGTAAAATGAGAAAAATACTAAATGCATTGAAGTGATACATCAAACAATATACCTGAAATGAAAACTCAGCCTGAACTAGCACTTGAAATTTTAAAAAAAAAATGCTTAGTTAAAAATCAGTCGTGAAATTTATCTCAAATCGTCATGAAAAAGGCAGCCATTTTAATAACTTTTACATTTTGAATACTTAATCTATTCTCAAAATCAAATTATTCTGCTGATCTGATCACGGTATACAATCAAATGTTACTTAGACCATTTATCCATTCAGCTCTTCAATTATATTACTGAAATTGAAGTTCTGAACTAATTTTAATCCATCAGGGAATATTTTATAGGAACGACAGACTGTGCGACATCAAAAAATATGTTACTTCAAATGTTCCAGAGTTCCCATAACCAGCTGTCTTCGGAGGCCCAAGATTCTACGAACATGAACTCAATTCGATACTCTGGTATTACTACAACTTGTGTGTACGTACTCTTCAGTACTTATACTCGAATGTGCGAGCCTGCGAAAGTGTGTCTTTCTCCATTTACTGGTTCTGAACTGGTTAAGAAATTATATAGTGTTCGACAGTTGGTCATGTAAATATAAATGACATACTGTATTCCTGCTCTTTCGTTAGAAAAAAAAAATTTCTGTAGTTATTTGGGCAAATTTCGCTACTTCATACTTTTCCCGTTTTCCTGCTCGTCCGTGATCTTCATGAAAAGGAGCCCTCCTATTCATTTATGGCTTTCCCCCAAGAACAACATTTATATGTTTTCTATGAAATAGAGAAGAAAAGAAAACCTTTTTCATTAGTGTAAATACCTATGTTATTTTCTTTTTCAATATCGTATTGATAAGATTTTATTGATCTTTTTTATTATCTTCTTACTGCTGTCAGCATTCTTATCTTCTGTCTTGGATTATAAATAGAATGCTTTGATTTAACATTATTTTGTAAACTATATTTGCCCATTTAAAATATTAGAGCAATTTAAATATAATATATATATATNGGATATATATATCCGGTTTTACGGGGGGGGGGTCCCAGTTTCGAACCATCCATTTATCCGCAGATCGTAATTCAGACCTGAATTAGAGCAAGGTCACTATCCGATCCAGTATCCCCAGAGGTATTGATTTGTTACGAGAACTTGGATTACTTTGTAACCCCGACAGATTTAACATGCACCAGTAGCCATTTTTTACACAGGGAGTTTTCGGTCGGTGGGTATTGAACTCACGACCTCACGGACATGGGTCCAACGCTCTAACAGCCAGGCTATCCCGGCCAATGTGTAGAAGAAAGAAATAGGTCATTTTAATATTTTGAGTCAGAGATGTGCAACTCGTGTACGTCTCCAAATGACCGCCATTAATAGGTGTTTTTAGAATCCTTGCCATGTGGCCGAGTGGTTAGCGTGCCTGACTGCGAAGCCAATGGCTGCAGGTTCGAATCCCGCTCTGGGCATGGATGTATCTCTCTCTCTGTGTTGTCTTCTGATGTGTGAATGTATGAATGTGGCTCTCCCTATGAACGGGTATTTGTGACAGCGTGGCGTGGGTAATTTTGCTCGCCTCTGTGACTTTGGTTCACAGGTGCCCTCTGGGTAACGATAAATGAGCAACACTTCCGGCATCTTCTGAGGCGAAGAGCAAAAGTTCAGTGCCTGCCGTTATTTAAAAAAAAAAAAAAAGAATCCTTGTCAAGAACAAAGATGAAAATGCTAATTAGAAGTTACAAACTTATAATCAAGTCAGAAAAAAAAGCTTTCAAATTTTTAATGAATCACAACTAAGTAAGACGATATTGAAAAAGTAAAAAGAAATATAATTATCAGAGGAAGTTGGAAAGAGTTTTCAGAAACACACCTGAAAGTTTTAACTGACAATCAAGCATGTTTTTCATTATCTTTCCTTTTTTGGTGATGTGGCAAATTTCAATTGGGTTTTTATTTTATTTTCTCGCTTAAATATTAATTGGTATGCGTATACTCTTTTTAATTCACTTTTGATAATGATTTTAAATGTGCTAAAAAAATAAAAAGAAAGTAAATTTCACATTCGTTTGGCCGAGATGTTATTCACGAGATTTCAATCTGTTTTTTGGATTTATATTATTTGAAATATCTAGAAAGTAATAATGTTTGAATCAAGAGTAGGTAAAGGATGTGACTCGGATTTACTTTTATTATTTTTTTAACGAGAAAAAACATTTAGAAAATTGTAACAGGCATAATGAAAAATGAAAAAAATGAACTCAAGTTACGCCATTAGTCCTCATTTGATTAAAATGTCATTACTTTCCGGAGACCTCAAATAATCTAAATTAAATGTGAGTCGCTCAGAAGCCAATGCGGTTAAGTCCAAAACACAAAAATTGAGAAAATTAATGTTTTTTGATACATTAGTTTCTAAAATTCTTTGTTTATTGATTTAATTAGAAAAGTGTATAAAGTCTTTTTTCGAGGTGTAAACTCTGCAAAAAAACAAGATATATACAGGATGTGTAAATAAAAACGTAAGTATTTATTGAAATAATGACAGCATCTTAAAAATTTTAGGACTTATACCTTTAGGCCGATGAAAAAGATAAGAAATTTATGTAAAAATAATAAAATAACATTTATTGTCATAAGTTTTATGCTTATTCATCATAACAAACATCATCTTCTTCCGAGTTATTTAAATGTAAATCTTGATCTCCACGTGTTGTCCTTAATGTCCTGTAAAAGTCGTGCTTAATTGGAGGTAAATACCATACCCCTTTTTTTTCTGGTGAAAAAATACTACCGTAGTATTAAAAATACTACGTCTGGCAACCCTGAGTTACTATGAATTTCTTGTTTTTCAGTGTTACCAACAAATATCGAAAGAAGAAGAAGAATTTAATTTTTATTTCAAAGTTTATGTAAAAAAATATTGATAAAAGGTGTACTTATTCACAATGGCTTCTGAAATTATTATACAATATATTCAGAAGCTATTAAAAAAAGGGCTGTCTAACCTAGAAAAAAGTAACCAACGAGTAAATCCTTTAATAACTAAGAAGATTATTATTTATTTTATCAAAATTTCCAAAAATCAGAAAATATCAAAAATCGGACTTAACCGCATTGGCTTCTGAGCGGCTCATATATATCACATAAAAAATATGGTATAATATCAGAGTGTCGGTTTTTTTTTTCGTAACTAGTTCCGGAATTCTTAACTGTGTACGAGGAGAAAAATGCCAGATATAAGCAGCAGAGAATTCTTAATTTTGTTCGAAAAGCAGTGACATACAGAGGTTTTAGAATGCCCGGAACAAACTCCATGATTTGGTTCTCATGAAAAGAGAAGTAAGCTGGGGAAAAAAGGGCCAATTCAATTGAAGAAAAAAGTAATAATTATAATTATTTTATGCCGTGTTGATAAATTATAAGAGAAGTTAGAATGGTGTTGAGACAGGCGCCTAATTTTTAAACAATTAACTCATATCTGAAGACGAGTTCGTCACAAAAATTTAGGTTTCAGTTTTAAAATTGCACTAGAGATACGCTAATGGTCTATTCACGAAATTTTGATTTGCTTACATGGATTAAGACATTTTGAATTAAACAAAAACTAACAACCTTGGCCTTGTTCGCCAAGCTAACAACAATCAAATCAACAAAGTGCACGTGGTGACGCTTGCACTTAAAGTTTTGCATATTTATGTAAATTTGCATATTTATGTTCTTTTCGTCAAACAAACTGCTAGGCTGACTTGCAATTTCCTGAATAAACACTCAAGGGCTGGTTTTATGTATTACATCCATGTGCAAATGGTCCAGCAGTGGACTGATAGTAAAGACATGGTTCCCAATAGAACACTGAAGTCAAGCATCACAGGCTGCGGTCAGTAAGCGGGTGGGTGACCACTTTGATCAGCCTGTCTACGAACCAAGGATGCGCGGTATCGGTCTTCGTTAAACTGTTCTACTATAAAGCGCTCGACTTCGCGCGCAGGTCATCGGGCTGCCAAAGCAGGGGAGCTATCCCCTCTGCAGAGGATCAAAAATGCGGTGGCATAACTGCAAATCATTCTCAGGGATGTTTCCCAGACTGTCGCCAATAGCCAACTGTGCAGCTCTATTGCGACTGTAAACAAAGTACCTACCATGTGCAAATGGGGTGACTTTTTTGGTCTTTGACTCGTATTCATTTACGATTATTTGCTTTGCCTGCAGACTAATTGATGAAACTTTTTGTACCTGGATTAAAGGCAGCATACACACAGTAATTACAAAGGGTTCAGCTAGATATAAACAATGAACTAATCGTAAGACACGGTTCCCGGTAGATCATCGAGATCAAGCATCACAGGCAGACAGCAGTCAGTGAGTGGGTAGGCTGGTGACCACTTTAATCAGCTTGCAAAGGTACCAAGGATGCTTGGCATTTGTCTTCGTTAAACTATTCTACAGTAGTGTGTTTGGATCACTTTACGGTACTCACGCAGGTTGTCGGCCTACCAAAGCGGGAGGTAGGCATACCCTCTGGCGAGGATCAAAATAGTGAAGGCATGAATTCGGATCATTTTCAGGGGTGCTCCCCAGACCGTTTCCAATAACCTATTTTAAAACTCTAGTGTGACGTAAAAAAGTATACTACTACTACTACTGCTGCTTATAAACTAGCCACATAAAAGAACTGTTGTTGTAGTTGTAGTTCATTTACGTCGCAGTAGAGCTGCACAATGGGCTATTAGCGACGGTCTGGGAAACATCCCTGAAGATGATCCGAGGACATGCCATCACAATTTTGATCCTCTGCAGAGGGGATGGCTCCCCCGCTTCGGTAGCCCAACGACCCGCACGCGAAGTCGAACACTTTACTGTAGAACAGTTTAACGAGGACCAATACCACACACCCTCGGTCCCTACGCAGACTGATCCATGTGGCCACCCACCAGCACACTGACCGCAACCAGTGATACTTGACTTCGGTGATCTACTGGGAGTCTACTGAGTCTTTACGATCAGTCCACTGCGGGACTTAAAAGAACTGAGTTTATTTAATGGTAACAGGTCACGAACCTGTGATCTTTTGTATCGAAGTTCGAGACCTTAGTTTCTCGGTCACCTTACCCTATAGGAGTCTCCACTTTTCGACTATGAAGTAGAAAGGCGGGCACAGGCTCGATGGGTTAATCGTAGTCTTTTTAGCTCGGGTGGGAGAGAAAGTTCTGCTGTTGAATTATTTTGAAACTTCACACAGCATTAGTTAATTCTTCTTTTATGTTTTTTGTTCTGAAAAATGTGATATAATTTTTAGTGACGGTGTTTTTTATTTAATCACTAAAAGTGGAGCTTTGAACGCTTATTTTCTTCATTTTTATTAAAGGCATGTATTTGCTAATTTGATGACTCAAAAATCTTGTCCATCTGCAACTTAGTGTGCTGGGAAAACAAGTTTAATACTTAAGTCACCAAAACTGAGTTGGTACTCATATATATTATGGAGAGTTTTCTTTATTTATTCGCAAACTAAGTGCTCAATACAAAGAACAGCTTATAAACTCTTGCAAATAAAGAATAGACGGCATAAATTAGAGAAAAATGGCACACAGATAATTCCGGGATTAAAGGGAAATCCGAACCCGCTACCTTCACGCTTCAGAGTGTTTCTCGGAACGGCGATATCGGTCGGCCAGTGATGGCTCTAAAATGAAGGTATCTAAATTTCCATAATCCAGGATGGTCGAGGAAATAAGATACCAGTCTACAACACTGGAGGCCGCAGATTAGTGCCTTAAAGTCATCGTAGAACGTCAGAACTTGCAAGTTAATTACATTCAAAATTCTAATTGTAGTAGAAATAACTAATTTTTTATTGAGTAAGAACCACAGCTACTAAATAAAAAATGAAAGAAAAAAAGCGAGATTAAAAAGATTTGATTCCCACCATAATCCGCCGAGGGTGAGCGGTAATGGTCCTCGTGAAACTGTTCTGCCATAGAGTGTTTGACTTCGCGCGCAGGTCATCGGGCTACCAAAGTAGGGGCGATAACTGGTCGACAGGCAGCTTAACTCGCAATCATCATCCAAGGTGTCCCACAGTAGACTGATTGTAAAATACAGCATCACGAGCAGTGGTCAGTGAGCGAATGGGTGACAGCCTTGATCAGTCTGTGAAAGGATCATCACGGCATCGGTTCTCAGTACCTGTCACGTCATGTCTTACGCACAAATCCAGCTAGCCATCCCTTCTAAAGGATATCAAAATTGTGATGATATTTTTTCAAATCTTCCTCAGAGGTTTTTCCCAGACCGTCGACAATAGCACAAACATCATTTGTACAGCTTTAGTGTGACGTAAATAAAGTACTATTACTACTTCATCATTCGGGATAACAAGCCGATGAGGATAAAAAGAAGACGCATAGATCCTCTTCATCAACTCAACGTTTCGCAGTGGACTGATCGTAAAGTTCGGTTCCCAGTAGAACACCGAAGACAGGCATCACTGGCTGCGGTCAGTAAGCGGGTGGGGGACCACTTTGATCAACCTGTGTAAGGATCGAGGGTTCTCGTTAAACTGTTCAACCGTAAAGTGCTCTACTTCGAGCTACCAAAACAGGGAAGCCATTTCCTCTGCAAAGGATCAAAATTGCGATGGCCTGTCTTCGGATCATCCTCAGGAATGCTTCCCAGACCGTCGCCAATAGCCCATTGCACAGCTATAGTGCGACTTTAAATACCTACCCATCTTGTCAACTGAACTCAACACAAGAAAACCATCCGCTTAGTACTACTACTACCCCCAACTACTTTAATATGCATATTTTAACGGCCAATCAAATGCGTGAATGAAAGGTCATATGATCATTAACGTTTATTATTTAAAGAATGTTAAAGTGAGTAACAAAACATTTAGAAATGTAAATTTTACGCTGTGGTTGTTCGAACTCCATTTTGCGCCCCAAACTTTTTTCTTGTCATGTATGTTTCTTAGTCTAATTTCAGGATGAATGGGAAAAGGGCCGTAATGACCTCAGACGCCCAGTTCCACTACAACGAACGAACGAACGCTGTGGTTGTTTAGCTGTAGTTCTCTAAGTTTAAACTTTCCCATTTAAAATAATGATTATAAAGTTTAAAAGAAAAATGCGGCTAGCTACTAAACAAAAGGTAAATATATTTTAAACTATATTCTTTTTAAATTGTTTTTTGTAAGTAAAGAATACTTGTAGAATCTAGTATATTGTATGTAAGGAATATTTGCAGAATCTAGTATATTGTATCAAAATAATTTGGGAGCACTTGAGATTTATAATATAAAAAAAGAATGCACGTGGGTGGGGGGGTTACAAACAGAAATGAGAGTTTATTTTAAAACAAACGGGGGTTTTTTATATTATTTTTCTTACTTTTACTAAGCAGATTCCGTCCAGTTATTCGGTAAATTTCTTTCTCTTTTCTTTCTGTTTCTAAAGTTGAAATACTTAAGGTGGTATACAACTCTTATTTTGCTGCTTGAAAACTACTGAATGAAAATGCAAATAAGACATTTGAATAGATGCATTGAATAGACAACTGAAGTTTTTCTCTGATAAATGAAGCAAGCCGTATAAACAGACTACAATATTTTTTTACAGCAAGTCTAACAATTTTGGTTGTACTCTTCAAGTTCTGGTTTTTCAGAGAACTTCTACCTCCCTTAAAAAATAAGAAATAAGTTTTCTTATTGCCCATTCGTTTATTTTTCAGCGCGGAGTTTCGTATTGTACTGGAAATAAAAAATTTATTTTATTGTAATTTTTATTTTTTAACAAAATTAAAGTTTGAATACGAAGTCTTTAATTGTTGAAATCTCTAAAAACAATGTCTCTTTACAATAGGACTTTAAAGCAGTACTTCCTTTTTAATCTCCAATAGTTTTGTACAACAAAATACATTCCTGTAGGGTTCTGACCTTACTATACATTATAAGAAGCTTTTTGATAAGTTAGCTTTAACATTTATTTTTAGACTGTAGGGGAGAGTGGGGTCAATTGTAACAGGGTACGATTGTAACAGAGCAAATATTTCGAGTGTCGGGTTCTAGATTCGGTTCCTACGTGGCGCACAAGGTATATTTAATAAATCTACATGTACACCCCTGCTGGCAACCATTTTTATGTACTTTTGAAAGAGTTATATCACAAAAGATATTTTCACGCTACGTAAGTACTTTTTTTGGTGTTAGAATATTATATTGTAACATAGTAATTTTGTTTAAACAAATAAAAATTATTAACCGAATATGTAAGTGGACACCTTAATTAACATTTT